TGCTCGGTGCTATTGCAGCCGTTCAGTGTGATAAACACACCCTCCACAGCAGCCATTTTCAATTGAACCACATCTGCATGGTGTTTGACCTATTTTTCTGCCATCTTGCCTTCTTTGTGTTAAAGAAAATATACAAACGGCGTCACTGTATTTCAGTCAGCTCAGTTATTTGGGGGCGAAAAAGAGCCGTCTCCGGGCACATATGTAGCGTGAAATGCAAGTGGCGGACGAGTGACACTGTCAGCTCGTTTTCTCCACCTTGTCTGTTGGTCGTGGAGCGTAAGGGCTGGTTGGCAAGACAGGCGGGGGCTATGGGGTCATTGTGTGTGTATGAAGAGATGCGCTGAGTGAATAACCTTCCCTGGTAACGGCTGTCAGATCCACCGGAGCAGAGCAGAGGACAGAGAGCAGGCCCGTCCCAGATACCAGACTGATAGGGGTGGATGGCAGAGGGGTGGGCCGTTCTGTCTGCCAGCCTCCAACGCCGGGCTCAAGGGTTTCTGATGGGTGGCCACACCGAGCCTCCTGACGGGGGTCGAAGCACCCGGGCAGCTTTTTGTTTAACACATTGCTCATCTCTTTTATTCCCCCCAATGCAGATTCCATGCACAGCAGTGCAGAGCACACAGGCCCAACAGTGGCCCGGGTCGCAGCTTTTGTGGAGGTGTCAGTTGCCAACGCAGCGTCTCAGCATGGTTCACCACTGGGCCTGACAGGGGATGCAGGCCCCATGAAGGGGGATTAGCACCGCACCTATTGTCTGAAGGCACAGCGGTGCTGGATTTGGCTGCATGGCTATTCAACGACTGTATTTCTATTCTTTGGCAGTTGACAGGGACGCTCAGTGGCCCCGCTTTTGTTCCGCTGCACTATCAGAATGTGTTCATGTCATGCCCCCAGCCGAGGCCCTTATTATCTCAGTTGACATGACGAGGAAAGGTGCGATGGTAGATTCTGTTATTGCTGTCTGCTGCCTGACCTGCAGGTTAGGCTGTTTTTTAATGGGTTAGGTAGAACCTTGCTTCTCATGTATAATTTACTGTTGATTCTGTTAAAGCTGAAAGGAGAGCATGTTGACCGAGACTTAACCTATGAGGGTTTGATGTTATGAATACAAAATTAAGGGATTTTTTGGGGGTTTGTTTGTTTTGTTTTATTTGCCTTCTTTTATCATTCAAATTAAATCTAATCCATTCTGTTTCACATGAAGCGCGTTCATTTAATCACATCATTTCCAAATGACAGATCTGGTAGTGAAATACTTTTTTCTTTCATTTGCAAGACTAATCATATATATATATTAAAAAAAAAGGGATAACTACATGACACATAAATGTAATCGGATTTTAATAATAAATAAAACGCCATGCATTTAAGATTTACATAAAATGTAATTAATTGTTTTTGTCTGTCTAAAAAAAATCTAATCTAAAAACAATAATTGATGTTGAGTATACCTCGCTGCGTGTGTCGAGTTTTTCCATAAGCCAGAGACCTCTGCTCCGACCCACAATGCTTATTCCTATGTTGAGAGAGCAGTTTGGACTATAAAGCACTGTGGAAAATAGTGATGGATGGCTCCTTAGTCTCTCCTAGAATAGAGAGGCAGTGGAAGTTTTTTCTTTTTTAGATTAAGGCAGCAGCTCTAGAAGATACAGGTTTACAGTAAATGTATTTGGTCCCTGCTGTGCTGTCTGAAAAAACCTTTTCAACTTCAGAGTTTCTTACATTTCTGGGCATTTGGGGCCACTCATGCCAACTCTATTACCACAACATGCTGACTCTATTCATCTCAACCTTTGCATCTTAAGAGATAAGGCATATAGGTTGTCTGAAATCTTACTTAGCTCTTGACTCATTATTTTAAACAATAAACAATGAGTCATTTGTACAATTTCCCCCTGTGAAGATATATAAAAAACACTTTCACATGCAAACAGATTATGTGATCGCTCTGCAAATGTGCAAGCTTTGCCAAAGAATGCTCCAATGTTGATGATACAGTAAACAAAACTCCATTGTGACTTCATCCGGACTTAAATCTGAATTGCAGACATATGCTTCATTGTACACTCTCCTGGTCTGAATTTGAGTTCCCCCCCCCCTTCTCAGCTCTGTTTATCGAAAGATTTTCCACATACCTTTCCAACGGATGTTAAAATAAAGACAAAAAGAAATCCTGTGAAGCATAGCTCACCCGTGCTTTGCAACGAAGCAATCCCCAGACAAAAGGAGCTTCATTCCTCAGAAGAACTATAAGTGCTGAAATGGATATTTCTATTACCAGCCATTACAAACAATGTTGCCTCACAACTGCTTCTCATTTTTGGGGATTAAGAGGAAATACTCAGAGAATGCCTTATTTTGTTTTTCTCCCTCACCTCTATCACTTGTCGTGGAGTTAATGTCACTGCAAGGCGAGTGACTGGGTCATGACTAGCTCAGAGTTTGTAGAGGTTCTTCTGGCCTTGATCCCTGTCAGGCAGCCATAATGAGGAGGTTCCGCGTTCCCCATCGACTGAGGGTAATGGCCGCCATAAAGGCCTTGATTGCAGCTGCTGCAGAACACTCCTCCACATTGCAGCATGGCTCTTGAACTCCCTCAATCATCTGTCTGGCTCATATACAACCTGCCATCCCATCAGACCACTTTGTCATGTATATATCACTTGTAGACCCGCCACTCCTTAAACATACCAAGTGAAACTATAATGTCAAGCACTTAAAATTTAAAAACGAAATGTTCTCCCATGACACAGGATAATAGCTTTCTGATCTGTTACATAAAGTGCTAATGTTGTTTTACCTCTTTGAAATTCAGCCGAAATCGAAATTTATAATGTAATTATTATATTAATCATATATACAATTACTTTATAATTGTTAGTTGCTTTTGATTTGTTTCACTTTTTTCTTTTTTACCCAAAAAACAATATTATTTTTAAATTCAAGGCGGTCAATTGCTAAGCTATTTCTTTCAAATCACCCAAAGGAGAGACGGCATGAAGGTTGAGGGTAGAAATATACAGTGAACTTGCTTATCTCTCTTTATACAGGCTGAAAAAAACAATAATGTTTCACGTTTACCTGTTAGACAGAGCATCATGTCTTATTTAAGCCGCGGTCCATGACAGCAGGGTGTCTCCGGCTGCTGTAAAAATGTCGACAGGCTGTGCTTACACAGGGTTTTACAGTGTTACAAATATAGATTGCATTTTTGATTTGCTGTGCTCTCATTAAACTGACAAAGCCAGCCTAAAAAACATTTGGTATAAACATATTAAGGATATAAAGAAAATGTTACTAAATTCATAAATCAAATCAAGATTTACATGTTTTAATTATAAAATTTAACAGTGTATAATTATCCATGACATTTAGATGGCTAAATAAATTCCAGCTTGCCTTGTATCTCTAACAGGATAATATGAGTGTGGTGTAGGGGGCCAGGCAGGGGAAGATTTCTTCACCGTCATTTTGCAGCCACAACAGTGAGTGGGCGGTGACCAGACATGGCAGAAATCTGAAAGAGGTGTTCCACTATGTGTAGGTGGCTTCCAATTCACTGGATCACCATGTTCGTTTACAATCAGCCCCATAATTAAGGGAAACCAACCCAGAAATTATCAATCAGTTAATTACTGGGATGCTGCAAAACAAATCCAGCTCCTGATTGAAGCCCACTGGCTGCCCTCACAAGATGCTGCCGTCATCCAAAAGAAACCAGAAGGTTCGTGAATTTTGCAAAACAAACAATTGTCATTCAGTGTGGCAATGTATAATATTGTTTAAAAAAAAAGTTGTATGTTTGCTTTGCCAATATTTCCTACCTTTTTTTATTTAGATTAGTTAAAGATAATTCATTTCTATTTTTAAAGCTGCTCAGATTTAGCTTAGATTGCCCTTTTTCTGACTGTTAAATAATTTTTAGGGTGAGGTGAAAATGTAATCCACCTTTAATTTAAAGTGCTGTTCCAGTGGCTTGGCGAGCATCCAGGTTTTAAGCACTGATGTGTGTTTTTTGCAGTCTTGCAACCATTGGCACAATAAATATGTCATACAACATGTAGAGGTAACATGTAACCAGCTATTAACTCCCCAATGACTGGGAAATAGAGAAGTAATTCAATTGTGGGATGCCATGTTTAGTGGTTTCCTTGTGCTTGAAAATTGTACAGTAGGAAAATGCTTGTGCTGTAAAAAGGCAAAAAATCTTGAAGCTTGGTTGGAAAAACTTTGTATTTATTTCACTTTAATGGTGGATAGAAAAAAAGGGCAAGCAAAAAAATACACACATGCGCACACACTTTGAGAGCTGGAATATACGTCCTTTCATTGTTATATTTATTTCTCACACCCTCATTGATTAGCTCATTATTATACCTTTTTTATTAATTCATTTATTGCACATAAATGCATAACATCTCCAAACAATTATATTGCTGCTTTATGCATTTCCAGTACATTTAACACAGTTAATACGTCATCTTTTATCTAAATCAAGCATTTGTAAACAGTCCTTCAGAAGCAGTGGGGCCCCAGCTGGAAGCTCTGCATACCACAGCGCTTATTGAGATTCACTTAACTTTTTCCCATAGCGCAAAGGGAAAGACCTTTTTAAATTGCTTGACTCAGGACGTCTATTTCCCATCAATACATTTCCTCTGCATTGGACCATCAGAACTCACATCAATCCCCTGATAGTGTCAGCAGCTCATCTCTTAAGTAAATGCTGGCCAGATGGAATTAAAGGGAGGTCCTGGGTTTTTCTTAGCAAAAACATTTTCGAACCATTTCTCTATTAGAGATGTCATCGCAGGAGACAGAAACAAAAAAAAGAAAATCAGATTAGCAGTCCAGCAGATGACAACCCATCAGGCACCTATATGTGAATACTGAAGTCCCTCAGATAAGGCCTGTGCAATAATAGATCTATTAATAATATTCGCAGAGCCCCAATCTTTCTGGCCTCCACATATATTATGATAACACCTATCATTGCTAAGAGAATAATATTTCCTTACAATGGCTCTAGATCCATGATTGCTTTTCTTTTCTCTTTTCTTTTTTCTTTCCCCAACTGCTGTTTCTCTTTAGTCACATCTTGTAATTGGTTTCCTCATGGCTTCTCAGAGTATAACGAAGATTGCAGAGTGCCACAGACTTGAGCTTGTTCCGACTTGTTTGAAATGACCCGATAGTCAGTGACTTCATGTTTTTTCTTCTTCTGGGAAGTGCATCCAAATGGGGCTGCAGCAGGAAAAGGTTCCTGTGCATGGGGACAGCAGGGGGAAGCTTGGAATGAGACTCGAGAGGCAAAATAACCAAATCTGGGCCCAGGGTTTTTCGGCAGGCAGCAGAGTTACATTTACAGAATTTCTCATGTTAGTTGTGCAGCTGCCTCTTTGCTATCTCATCGGTATTGTCAGACTGGCTCTGGGAGAAGATTTAAGGGCTGGATAGAGGCAGTGGGAGAATTCAGATGTTATGTGTTGCCAGCTTTTGTACAAAATATTACAATGCAACAAAGAGTTGGTTGGTGACATTGAGTTTTGATTTTGACTTCAGTGAACACACTGGCTGATTTAATTATTTTAATTATTTCTATTGTTTCAATAACTTTTGTACGTCTGTCTTTGTAGTTAAAAGAACATTTACTTTTCAAACACTTTAAAATCAGCCATAACTGCAAAATAAGAAGTGGCAAGAATCAAGAATGAGCATGTAAAAACCATTTCAGTACTTCACTTTTTCTCCTTTACTCCTCTTTACCCTGTTTTCCTTTTCTGACTCCTTGTCACAACCCAAAGCCACTTATATTTACATGGCAAAAGAGGTGGAAGTGCTGCAGCATGCCTAATTTGCAGCAGGCCCCATGTTTTCTTTACAAATTGCAGTCACATATCATTTAGTTTCCCTGTATTATTGCTAAGAAAAACAATCAGAAAACCTCAAATGGGGGGGCCAGCGTACTCTGATCTCATCCCTGGCTCCGGCCCCCCTCCCAGTTCATCTCACTAACTGTCTCTGCCTCTGCCAGGATTTGCTGGAACAGATGCCTTTTTATTTTGACGGCCTGCTGCTTGCCTCAGTCAGTTGGGCAGCGGGTCACAAATGCTGACATACTCGCAAGGACACATGGGCACACACACTCACAGACAACGACACACACACACAGACCTACGCAGCGATGGCTGTGAAGCATGTGTGTTTAACTTACTGGTTGTTTAAGTAAGCTGAGAAGAATCCCCTCAGGTGATTAGTTCATTTGCAAGTCCCCGGCTGTGGAGGCTAGTACAGGCCCGCTGCCCCACTCGCTGCCTCTCTCGCTGCCTCTCTCTGCCCTTATTATGTTTCTGTCTTGTTCTTTTGCGACCAGCGTCGCTGCCTCCATCCTCTTTCTCCGCTCTGTTCTGCTGTTTGTTTATGTTTCTCTGGACTCGGAGGGAGGAGAAAGAGACAGAAAGAAGAAAGGAAAAAAAAAAGCAAGGGAGAGAAATGTTAAGCCAGCTAGAGTAATAGCGCCGGTCTTTGTCCGGCACTCATTATTTTCGCTTTGATTACAATCTGGAGCAGCTCAAGTTACCCTAATTCGGCCGGCTGAGGCTCCGGCTGAAATTGTGCTGCGCTGAGTGATGGTCGAATTGAAGCTGCCAGGGGGGGGTCAGCACTGGATCGGGTGTGGAAAGGAAAAAATCATAATAATAAAAGAAATAGATACATAAAAATGCAAAACAAAGGCAATATCTGTGGTAATGATGTGGCAAACGCGCAGCATCATAATAAACGCATTCTCCGTGTAAATTTCGGACTCATCCAGCATGGAGGAGATGTAAAACGATGAGACCAACCGTGTAATTCCTTGAGGAACACTTTCATGCCAACGGGACGTCTTGTTTATGCCAGAATGAGAATGTTGAGAAATGGTTTTGGTGTTGCACAGCGCAGGGTGGATGGAAGAACAGGCAGGCATGCTGGGATTTTCAGGGCAGTAGCGGTGGTTCCCTGGGAGGGGAATGAGTGCTGAGGACGCCGCCTAAGGGCCAACCGCCACTAGACACTAAGCACTGCGGAGGCCTGGTCCCCATGTAGCTCTAATCACTACCCCATGCCCCATCCATCTGTTCTCCATCAGCGGCCTTACAGTACCACTCCACCGCTCTGCCACTATCCACCCTCCATCCTCTTCCCTTCTGGCGATCAATCTCAGTGTCTCCTAACCTCCCCTCGTTTTCAGTTTCTAGATATTTCCCTGTCTGGTATTTTTTTAACTTTTTAACAGGATGTGTTAAATCTAGCAGGGGCAGACACTTTAACCCTCAATTTCAGTCTGTGTTTTCAAGCTATTTCCTCCTGAAGCTAAATTAAAACACCTATAAAACACAATTTATCGATCCGGCACTCGCACTTTCTCTCCCTCTTGCACCATGTTGGTCAATAAACGTCCCTTTTTGCCTCCTGGTCACAGCATGTAATCTAGTAGAGATGGCAGAAAGTGTCATCAGACAGATGTGAGTTTTCTAACTACCACGCCGCTGTCACTTCAATTACTAGCAGTGTTCACAGTTGTACTATAGCTATGCTGATTTTGTTCTGCCCCTGATGATCAGATAAGAGGTACTAATTAAAAAAAAAAAAAAGGAGAAGGAAAAAAAAACAATATTATGAGCTGCCCTAACGCTTCTCTGGGTGGTGATGAGTGAGGGCAAAGTTATTATTCTTTTGAACTCCTGCGGTGTGGGGGAAAGACGGCAGACATTCAAAGCAGCATGACGTTTGGTGTTTGTTATTTCTTTTTCACTTTTTTTAATTCCCGGGCTAGAGATTTATGGCTTGATAAGTGCCTGAAACTTTTCCTTTTTTTTCAAATGGGGATAATTTAAATACACCTACACACAGGCAGATGGGTTTTTTTCTCCGTTTCTCTTTTTCTTTCTGTTCGTATGTTTCTCTCAGTCTTGCCGTGTTGCTCTGGTCTTTGCTCTTCTTCTTTTATTTTAGCCAAGGTTTTATTCCCTGCCATCTGTAACATAGTGGCCGAATCTGTACCTCTACAGATTCGAAGGCAATTCAATCTCAGTTCTTGCAGCTTTGTAGTCATGTTCAGAAGCTCATTTGTTCTTGCTTTTGAAAAAATGTCTCTCACAGCACTATAGTAACAGCGCACAAATGTTTTTGAGTAGAGAGAACTGTAAATAAAATATGTTTGAGGCCAAGAAAATGACCCGCATACACAGACATGCTCTCCCGCTGTGCTTTTAATCCATTTCACCCACTTGCCTCAGATTTTAACAACTCTCTCAGAACTTTTGGTCTTTTTTCCAAGTGTAAAAAAAAACTTTGATGTTGGTCTGAATTTTTGGATAGAATATATTTCTCATACATTTCCCTTACTTATATCATCTCACCCAGTAGCTTCCTGTGGTTGCTAACTGAGGTATCGGCAAATGGTACTTCCTCATTCAGCCATTACAATATTTGTTTCCATTTCCTGTCAAGCGTGACTGCTCGACAGCCCATCCGTATAATTAAAACAACCTTTAAGCAATTTGCTGCAGAGTTTCTAATATTTTTAGCCTGGTCATTATTCCCGATGTACAGATGTGGCATGTCAATGAGGAAATGAGGGCCTGACAGCATCTCACTCCTATTGTTCATTGGGAGAAAAAAAAAAATTGGTGTAGGTAGTCAGATTGGTGATGGAGCTATTGCCCAATTTATTCATTCAATTGTCAGATTTACCGACAAATATGTGTAGCGCCAATGTGGGGCTGAATTTTGAAACTGTTACAGCCTGTCAACATAGTGAGAGCGCGGTCATTAATCACCATACATTTGATCAGAATGCAGCAAACCTCTACTGTTTCCTGTGATGGAAGGACAATGGAAGGCTGTGTTAGATCTTGTTCCGCTAATTGGGTTAGTGCAGCTAATGGCCATTTAGATGGAGGATAACAGGGAGGCATTTTACTCCACAAATGTGGTGATGGAAGCAGAAGCTATCATGTATTTGAACTCGAGATACTTGAGATAAAAAAAAAAGAAAGAGCTTAGATTTGTTGTAATGCTTTCTTCACACTTCTTAGTGGGTCTACTTTGGTCAATTCTGCAGTGCATTGGTGCCTTGTTGCAAAATCATAATTTTTTTCAAAGTGTATACTCTGCAGGTATTTGTTTTAATTCATTTTTTTTCTCACATTAAATCTGTGATGAGTTTGACAGCATAAGTATGCTTAAAATTGTGTAGAGTGAAAATCAGGAGCGGACTAAGTGGTTTATAATTTGAAGAAAATGCTATGTGAAATCACATCAGCCGCTACTCCATAAACCCCAGTTTCAGCACTCAGAGCAATTTTAAAGAAATGTTATCTCAAACTTGTTTGAGAAGAACAACAGCCCACTGTACAGGGATGTGGGAATTGAGAAAGGAATTAAAATTGCAATACCTGCATGCTCTGCTGCCCTACTCAAATTGCTTGGCTGTTCTATGCTTCTCTACGCAATATCCTGCCATCAAGCTCTGTGCAAAGGACGATAATAATGGATCTGGCGTCAGGATTTCCGTGTGCAGGTCATGAAAATTGGAATAGAGAGGATATATATGTGACTGTGCCGACCTAAATGGGCTAAGGGGTTTGCTATTCCCCAACCAAAGTTACGGCAACTGTTTCTGTTGTGTCCACTAGTCTGCCCAGTTGCTGAATACAAATGGCTTCTACTAAGACTAACCCAAAAAGTGATAACAACCCCAGGAATATTAAAGCACACACAGCTGTTATTAAAAAAAGATAGAGAAAGATTAAAAAACAAACAAATACTGGCTGGCGTCCTTGGTTGAGTGTAGTTCTGGGCGCAGTTTCAGTTTGGCTGCCAGTGCATTTTCTGGCCCCGTTATTTCTTTCCAAATGAGAAAGAAATGTTGTTTGTCCCCACCATGAGATGAGGAATAGGCCTACTGCTTCACACAGACTAACGTGACAGGCTGCATGACATCACTTAGCCAAAATGGATTGCCACTTCAAAATGGGACTGTTCTGCCCAGTGTTAGCAAGGCTCTCACTGGAAGAAAGGCTGGTCGCTAATTGACTCTGAAACTTATTCAATGTGTTTTCATTTTGTTTTAGTTCTGGCAGCAGTGTTGTTATTCTGTGGGTGGCAAAGATTAGTTGGCAGCTTTGGTATTTCAGTCTTGTTGGGAAAGTGAATTAAAGACAAAAATGTAAATCCCCTAATTAGAGCTGTTGACATTTTTTTCAAGACGTCCTATCGTGTGTTTAATTACTTTCGTTCAGCTGTATTTCCCAGGTATGATTTCTAACTAGTGAAAATTACCCTGTAAACTAGACAATTTAATTTAGGGAAATCATATTGGTTGAAAATATTTGAATATTGTACACCCTGGGACGCCAATAGTCAAAGTCTGATGGCAAAAGACTGCCGGTATTAGATTATTAACTCCCACACGGTCAAAAAATAGTCATGTCTGTTGGCTAATTTGCATTTACTTACACCAAAATACCCATCTCATACCCAGGACGAAAATGTAATCAACAATATTTCTCTTCAGGAATCTCGTTTTATATTTATATACTCGGTATAATCATAGACCCAGCTCTTACTAGTTTTCATCCATGTAACAAATATTGGTATCTCAAAACTTTGGAAAGAAAACAAAAAATAACTGGAAGTCTAGAATACCTCTTGGTAAACTGGGGAAATGTGTTTTTTTGTATTTTTTATTAATTTATGAATTTTTCCCAATATGTATATAGAAAAAACAGCATGCAAGAGAAATGGAGACTTGAACATACTGTCTATAGATAAAAGATAAAGTAAATCCTAGAAAAAAATACAAAGCAAGGTCACCCGATCTGTAACCCTTTTTGGGAGGTTCATATTAGTCAGATGAAATGTTAAATGCATATAGCTGTTTTCCCAGGAGTGTGTGTGTGATCCTCCTCCCCACTCCACTCTTTCTTAGTTGACCTGTGCACCACTCAGGCCCTGGGGGCTCAGGCAAACACATGGCCTGATCTGTTGCTCCTAAACACTTTCACCCTGGCCAGCGCATATACACACACAAATACACACAAACTCTCACAGAACGAGCACATCTGGTTTCCAGGGCGGCTCTCATGAATGCGGACCTTTTAGCTGCCAGTGCAGGCAGGCTGCTGGTGTTAATGACTGGGGCATTCCTCTGGTCCCAGGATGAAAATGGTGAGAGGATGCAAAACAGAGGCAGCGATCGCTTCTAAGGGGTAACCCAATCCATCCAGCAAGAGCCGTGGTGTGTGTCTGAATTAATGGCCGAAGGGGGTAGGCCAGCAAAAAGGTCCTTGGGGTCAGGACAGGCTGCCGCAACACCCCAGCCCGTATGTGCCAGGTCTGGCTTCCTCCCAAAAGCACAGAGAGGTCACAGCAATTTCCCTAAGTCAGGAGTGGGTCAGGGTCCCACTTCCCTTACGTATCAGTCACTAAGAATGAGGGGGAGAGCGCAAGGCATGGTCTTTGTAGAATAACCTCCCCTAATCCCCAGAGTGTCAGTACTGCGAGGAAAGTATGCATTTGTTTGGCAGAGGTTATGTGAGGAGAAAATGTGAAAGCTACATAGTGTATTTTCCAGCCTGCAACTTTGAATGTAATTATTCTATTCATAATGGGTGGGAAATGTCCTCACAGGTGTCATTATCTTTCTGATAATTGGCACGGTCCCTGATGCTTTCCGTTAAGTTGTTCTCTAACGTCAGCACGTCACCTCACCTCACTTGGCAGCACTAAGTGAACTGGGATACTTTGCTCAGGAACTGAAAGTGAATACATTAAGGGTGGAAGTAAAACGTTGCCCCGAAAAAGAGCTCAATAATGATTTAAGTAGCTTGCGGTAGAAGGGATTATATTACTGATCTTTTGATTTTTTTTCAAGTTTTTACTTGACCCAAATACCCCTCATCTCTCTGTCTCTTTTCAGCTCACCTCTTCTTTCTGGTTCACTTTTGAATCACATAAAAAAGGTAGGAGTCCAAACATACTCTACATTCATTGAGACTGGTCGTTGCTAAAAAAAAAACAACCTAGGTACATTTCTTTGATGATTCACCATCATAAAAATCTACGCTAAATATAACTTTTACTGTCATTCCGTAGCCTCAAAACATTTGCTGAAGGGCATAGATGTACTGCCACTAGTGGCAAAAAACAAAAAGTTATTGGTAGTCTCTCCATGATTAATATGAACTAAATATTTATACATTTAATATATATTTATGTATTTAATTTCTTGATAAGGAAATGCAAAAGCATTCAGATATTCCAAACCTGTGGTCTAACACGACTCAATCAATATCTGGAGCAGGAACGACTCTAAGCAATAGGGCATAGTAAGGAACATTTCTTTATATTCAAGAAAATGTATCCAAGGGCAGAAAAGAAACATCAAGAGCCATGAAACCTCCATTGATATTCTTTCATATTTATTTTAGTTTATTTCCAAATGTGCTACAGCATTTAATGCTCCGGCAGAAACCTTACGTTTTACTGTGCACACACCCAGCCCATGTCATTAAAAATTAAGAAGTATTTATTGGCACATGTAAAAAAGTGATAAACACGTATCCAGGGATAGTTTCGTGCTCTGTCGCTCGGGCAGCCGCTGCCCTGCTCAGATCGAAACCCATCAGAGCTCTGTTCTTTCCAGCTGCCAGAATAAATCTTGACGTGAGCGCCCAGCGCTGCCTACACTTTTTTGAAAAGTGCTAATCCCGCAGTGTGTGTGTGCCATAAACAAAATAAGAGAAAAAATTGAAGTGGCTAAAATTCTCCCATGCAAATAAACCATGAAATAAATGCAAAGAAAAACAAATGCTTTCCTTCTTCCTCTCATGGTCTGTGTTGCAAAAACACATATCAATGGATGCATGATTAACTTCTCGTCTGAAAGCACGACCCGGCCGCCCAGACGCTGCAACAAGCAGGCAGCAGGCTGCGTGGCACTCGAGCTGTTGATAACAAAAGCCATCACCCTGTGCACCGCTAAGCAGTTACCACATGATTTTATGAGAGCCATGCTCATTTATGAGTGCAATCAGTTGCAACCCAATGCCCCATAGGATGTCAGTGTTAGCGCCCCTCTTTGTCCTATGATGATGGACTGTCTGTTCAATGGCATTATTGTAGCTCTAGTGGCCATCCAGGGAGTAATACATTGATAACAATATCAGCTCATAAAGACGGGCCGTTGAAGAAAAGGTCACTCCCTTTCTTACGTGTACTGTATCTCCCTCTCCCCTCGCTGGGTCTCATTTCCCTGTCACTCCCTCTCTCTCTCTCTCTGTCTCTCTGTGTCTCTCTATCGCACTCGCTCTGGGTGACGAAGGCTGGCCCTCGTGTGTAAGGAAGCTGGAATGTCATGTTTTAACTGGAGTTAGAGGTATGTTGACAGGCCAGACAGAGGGAACAGATGGCAGCGTGACATGCCCAAGGTCATCTGGCATGCCACTGTCGGGAGCACTGGATTTGAAACCCAACACTTTATCGCCTGCTTCCTTTTTCTTTCTTTAGGTTTTCTGCTGTCCCCCTGCCTCCCTCTCCCCTCCTTCCTCCCTCCCTCCTTCCTTCATTCCTTCCTTCCTTCCATTTCATTCATTTTCTCACTTCCATCTCACTCCTCTTTATCACTTACTTCTTTCTCAGTTTGTTGTTCCCCAACCTCCCTCCGCTGCTTGCCGTGTCTCTCACTCCTTTTATCTGTTTATCACCCCTTCCCTTCTCAATGTAGGTCACAAAGCCTCCTGTACAGGCTGCTGCCTATCTCTGCTTAAACACACTGCCCCCTAAACTCTCCTGACTACTCTATACACACACACACCTCCAAGAACCTCCGTATTCTTTCGCTCTTCCTTTGCTCATTCTCTCCCAAACATGCTCCTATGGAGTCACATCGGCCCCGTTACCTTTGTCTCCCGGAGTCTCGCGCCCAAAAAGCCCTGTCAGCTGATATGTAGAAAGAATCCAAATTAGCTTTAATTACCTGTGCAGCCATGCCTGGAAGGTCGTGCACCGGAAATCCCAACCACATCGGTACAGTTAGCATGCCATGTCGCAACACATGGCTTCTTTGTCTTCCAGCTAATTTCTAACGGAAGCATGAAATAGAAAGAGAGAAAAAACACAGTGGGAAAAGGAGGGAGGGAGAGAGAGGATGCAAAGGGAGAAAACCGCTGTTTCCGCTTGCTGCTTACCCATCTTTTCTAAAGGTTTTTTAGGGCTCGTACTAAAATCAGAAACAGAGCAGCTCAGAGAACAATGTCCTTACTTTACCCAAAAGGTGTCAGGAGTGTCTGTTTCAGCTCAGCAGGCAGAGCCGTTTGTCCCAAAACAACATTGGCTTTTTTTCTCTGATAAAGAAAACATTGCAACACTGATTCAAAAGGCAGTTTGAAAGGGTTAAAAGTCATTCATGTAATCAACGTGTTGGGAATTACCAGCTGCACTCGGTACAGTGTGTTCGAGATTTGATTGTTTATCGAGCATGTCAGACAGCGCATGTCCATCCCGCCCGGTAGTAACCCCTTGTTATATTGTTAATGTTCCCCGGTGAGACTCTTACGGGTGCTTTAGCTCCATTTGCAGCTTTCACAGGCAGCTCTCAACTACACAAAGGGCGGCCCGTTACGAATTCTAACGAGGTGAGAAGTACACCATGACAACAGCAGCCGCCTGAGGTGACGTTTCCTCGATATGAGCTGCTCCAACAAATATATAAACAAATGTGTTTTTTAGAGACCTCTTTTAACTACGTCTCACCCCCCTGCCCTGGATCACTGACTCAAAACAGTCTGCGTTGTGTTTATGAGCATGTGTTTACGGTCGGTGATCGTAGTCATCAGGGCTGTTGTCACTGCTGTTGCTCAGGCCCTGTGATTATGCCTGTTGTTTTTTTGGCAGAGGGTTGTCTGAATATTAACAACAATGCTAAGGCTGATTAGTATTGAACGCATGCATAGAAGGCAGATCTCTATCTGGGTGATACAGCATTACAAATCATACATGGGAGAAGTAGAGAGAGAGGAAGCAGGGCAGGGGGGAAAGAGGGAGGAAGGGAGGGAAAAACTGTTTCAAATCTTCTCATCTACAAAGGTTATTTTCTGAATAGTAAGTCTTTCAGCATAAAACCGCATGTTTTTCCTTGAATAGAAATATGCATAGCCACAAACAGAAAGCATATGGACGTATTTATGGCAGGGCTTTGTTCTTGCAGTGTTGAATGTGTAATGTTGAGACTTTAAAAAGCCTCTTTTCATCTCTTGTTTTTTTTCCTGCTTTCCTTCTGCGTTTTCAAAAAGGCATTTCACTTGGCGAGAATGGAATTACAAGGTATATTACAAGTAAACGCTAGAATAATTTGTCGCAATTACACCTTATAAACCTAGTCGCTGCTCGGTATATCCCGGACTCTAGTAGATTCCCTGCGGTTGTGAGAATGCGGAACATTTGGAGTTAGTTAAAAAGAAAAAAAGGAGAAAGATTTGTTTTAAAAGCTGCATTTGTCCACTGCGGACAACAAAAGTCTGTGGCAGTCAAAGTTGGTCCGTATTGACGTCTCGGTGAGAAATTTGATTTTGTGAACAACTCCAAAGTTGTTGCTTCGGCCATTAATCACCCGTCCCTGGAGAGGGGAACTCAGCGGAGCACAGGGCCCTCTCTGTGCTGCACGACAGACTGAAAGCCAAACCCAGCGTTCTTGAACAATAGATGCCCCAACGTGACACCATTTTGCTACAGTGTGTGAGTGCATGTGTTTGTGCAAGGGGGCAGGACAGATTCTTGAAAGTACAGTGACACCTAAAGGCCTAATCCTATAGGCCCTCTCCCTCTCTCCCACGAACACTTGAGTCAAGGACACGGTGAAATTTGGAGAAAACTGATGAGTTTTCACTTTTACTGCACTTGATAGTTCTAGGCGCTTGTACAGGGCATCAAATTCCTCTCCTAATGACATGCCTCGGGCTGCCTGCAGGAGAAGTGGCATTTTCATCTTCCATCCTGAGCATCTGATTGGACATTGGGTGGAAGAGCCAAAAAAAATGGATCTTGTGCTTTTTCTTTTTTTTTTATGTTCAATGTGCAATTGGATTGCACTGTGTGGGTCCTGTTTCTATGCCCTCGAACCAGTTATTTCTTTTTCTTTTTTTCTTATGTTGTTACTTTGTATTTGTCTTAAATGTTGCCACGGTGAGATCTCAAGTACTTCTTGTGTAAGTATTTGGGCAGCTTTTTCTATTATACACACAGGACGGACTGAATAACCAACAACGAGTTTACCTCTTAATTAATTATAAATAATTATTTTGCTCACCATTTTATTATGACATAAATTCACAGGTAAACTACAGAAAGATGTAGGCCTGAAGAACACAAACATCATGAGATTTAAGATATTTTTTAAGGCTTTTTTATTTGTATTTATATATTATTGTTGGGATGTCCTCATATGATCAACTGAAGGTCATATTTTATCTTTATTTCCCTCTCCGCAATTGCTAACACAGTGCTATTTGTTTTCCAACTGAGTCTATTTAAATGTACAAATCTCTCAACACACACACACACACACACACACACACACACACACACACACACACACACACATATTCCCCAGCTGAACAGTACCACTGTAGTGTTGAGGTCCTCACCGGGCAGCCCTTTGATCTTGCAGCGTCTCTTGTGTCTACTTTCACGGCCAGCTCTGCATGCAGAGCCAGTTTTTAATATGGCAGCGCACCCTGGGTCTCAGAGTTACAATAAACTTTACCTTCAACTGTCAGCAGGTCTTAATCACTGGGATTACGGCAGCACTAAATGTTGGATTCCTGTTAATATTCCTGCCGGTGAAAAAAGGTAAACAGACCCAGAGAGATAAATATCGCCCTCGTCTCAACAGAAATATCCTTTGGAGTTCAGAATCTCATTTTCATCACTTGCAAATATGGCGCGGAAGTCAAAAGGGGAAAGAATAAGCCTCAGTTTCGATGAATGTGGACAAACACAATGGAATTCTTTTTAGGCGGTAAGCTTTCTCCTGCAAATGTACAATCGGTCATTTTCAAAGTGCCTTCAGCAGAGCTGTTATTTGCTGTCCCGGGAGGAACCATAGCTGGAGCTCACCAAGCTAATGGAGCTTCTGAGGCCTGCGAGTGGCAGGCAGCGTGCAGCGTGCTCTGTGGGCAAGAGGGATTTAGATATCCATTTAATTTAGTATCAGCAAGGAAAATATTACAGAAACAAACTTCAATTATTATATTATAGTAATTAAAAATATAGATGTTTTTATTATTATTATTAATATTATCAACTGTAGCTAATTCATAATAATATTAGTTGATCGGACAATCATACTGTATTTTTTTTAAAATAATTTATCATAATTATTCATTTGTCGCAATGTTTTAATTTAATAAATGTTTATTGTAAATAACATTTTAAAGGGGTGCATTTAGAGTTTTGATACCTTTTAGTTATTTCGTTAACAACGTTGCATCTCTATGTGTAGGGTTTCCTTACATTCTCCATAACAAAATATTCAAAATGAGCCCGAACCCAATTTGACAAAAGCCAGTTTCATCCATATATTCACACACCCTAAAAATGGCGTCTAGTGGAGTGGAGCGTGCTGTTTTAGAAGCTAAATCCGTGCTCTGCTGGGTCCAAATATTTTACCATAGCTTAGCTGCTCCACTAAAATCTGCACTTGTGTGCACTCCATTGCCCCTTCATCTTCCTTTGAAAAAACCACTGGATTAGAGCCCGTTGTCTCAGGATTCAGGCGGCTTGACTCCTTGGCGACACGGGTCCCATGGCTGTGTCGTGGTGGGGGAATAGATTTAAACAATTCAAGAGTACAGAGTCCTCAGGGACGAGCCACTGCAGGCTCTGAAAGGTTGGGACTGTGAACAAGTGTTCATGCATTTTCAACAGTGAGATAATTCACAGGGAATTCAGGTTGGTTTGAATACATTAAGTATCAAGGAGGCAGCCATTTATTTAGATTGTTCTGTATGGTCAATGTTTAGACTGTGCATGGCTGCGCTCTGGTTACATGAGAAAATGATTTACTCCGTGCATTTATTTTCCTTCACTCTTTTTCATCCTCATTCATCCAATTGTATTCCATGAAAGTGACCCTACCTCTGTTCTTTGTAGCACCCTTAAACATATTTGAATGTATGAATAAACACATGCAATCCCATGCCTGCAAGATCCCCAAAACTAGAAGCACATAAATAACTTGTTTTTCACTTGAAAGGCTAGTTTTTCTTGTACGTTTGTCTTTGCTTTTTGATGCAAAGCTCGGCGAGTAAAGCGAATATCAGCAGGAAGAGACGTTTCCTCCCCCTATTCCTTTTTAGTTAATTGAATCGCCAGGAATCCTGCTATCACAGTGTTAGCACCACGGATATATGGTGGCAGTCTTTATTGAAATTATTTCCATGGGTATTTGTCTCACTTCTGGCTCTGTGTCAGGCTTTTAGGAAGGGAGACAGAGGGAAAGGGGCGGGTTAGACAGAGGGGACGTGGGGAAAAGAGAATATGAAATTGATTAGTTAGCTGGGATGGAAAATAAAGACTTCATCAGGATCACTTTGTGCAGTCTTCACAATCAGCTGTGAGACAATACAGCCTCCCTAATGAGGACAGAGAGGCAGGGACTGTGCATACTCGTGTACCTGCATTACGTGTGTGTGTGTGTGTGTGTGTGTGTGTGTGTGTGTGTGTGTGTGTGTGTGTGTGTGTGTGTGTGTGTGTGTGTGTGTGTGTGTGCTACTGTAATAAAGGTGAAGGGGATCAGAAAGAGAGAGTATGTGTGGGTGTTAAATAGGGTTCTGACTCTAATATTAATTCATATTTACTTTTGGCTGGATAGAAAAAATAATTATAATACCATTTTAATAAATATTAATAATGATGTAACATCTTCCAGTGAGCCATTGTCAATTAGGAAATTCTGCCAATTCAATTCTATTTCAGTCCTTATTTAGGATGATCACTATTTAGAACAAAATTGGCGACAATTATTTAATCTTCTATCCTAATACTTTGCGCTTCTTGAATTAAATAAAC